TTACAGAACTTTTCCCTTCGGCAAAAGTCTCTCCGTTGGGGGAGAGGTTGTAACAGCTTTAATATCGTTATTAATCTCTCGTGCATTTGAAATAGATGAATAATAAATAATGTACAGATTACTGGCAATATTGAAATGCAGGCTCGAGAGCTGCATGCATTTTCTCGCACGAAGCATGTAATTATTTTTTTTTAAAATAAGTTTATAGAATATGTTTTCTCTTCTTGTTTGTATGTCGCCATTTCTGAGTGTTAAATAAAAGTTATTGCTGTGTTCCATCATTGGAGTTGCTTCATATCACCAAAGAAGCATCACAGTGTTATTTCTTTGAGAATTCCACCTATGATGTTTAGAGTTCAGGTCCGCTGCTATAATAACAGGGTGAGTGATATTGTTAAAAATTTGCAAGTCATTGTTGGTGAGAATGTTTCTGGGGGGGGATTATAAGCCGAGATGATGACAATCGGCTCATTTGTGCGCGAATGCACAACGATCGCAGTGGTTTCAATGCTGCTGCTATTGGGAATATTAAATTCGTTGGCGTGCAGATGCCTTTTAATTAATATCATAGTACCGCCGTCCCTGTTATGGTCTCTGTCCATCCTGAATGCGTTGTAACCACTGATCTTGAACTTATCATTAGGTCTGAGCCAAGTTTCATTCACTAGAAACGCATCAATATTATGGTGATTAAGAAAGTTTGCAACTTCAACGTTCTTGTGGGCGAACGCCGTTGGCGTTGAAAAAATGCGAGGTTTAAACTGCTGGGGGCAGTGAGGTGAGTTCTTGAAATTACTGTTAATTGTTGTTAAAATTCATAATTGATGCTTGATAAAAGTTCAAAGGCTTCCCAGCCGACTTGGATTTTTTCCAATGTTGATTTAGATTTTAAGAACCGCTCGAAGAGATTTTTTTCCTTGCAGGAATAATTTCTTCAGCCAAATTATGAAGTCGGAGGCGGAGCCTAAGTTCTCACTTTCGACAGCTGCGTCCTGATTGGTGGATGGAGCATTCTGCTCATTAACATTTTCACTGCTATTTTGGGTTATGTTTCTTCTTGGCAGAGGTGGGAATTTTCCAAGTTGATATCAGGGGATTATTTTTTGAAGTTTTTCTCGCTTCTTTTTGGAATTCTTTTTCTGCAATTTTTCTTTTCATATTATCCGGGTGCATTTCGCAACCACGGTGCGAACTAATGTGGGGGCCTCCTCAGAGGCAACATTCCGCAGAGGTAACATTTCCCTGGTAAGTTTCTGTCTTTTGTGCATGTAGTAGTAATATGGTTTTGCCCGCATTTTAAACACCTGGGCTTGTGCTTAAGCGAGCACAACTGTGTCCATACCTCTGACAGTGGTGACGCTGTCTGTGTCCTGGTATGGGTCTGAAGGGAGTAATCTCATCACTTTCGAATTCAAAGCACATTTTTAAAGGCTATTGATAGGTCATTGCGATTAGAGCGCCATCTGTTAACGATTTCGTAACTAAAATTTTCTAACTTTTGTACACCATTTTACAGTTTTCTAATAACGTACAGTTTACGGCCTAATTCTACCATCTTTGTTGTAGAGATATTTAATTTTGAATCAGGGCTTTTCGCTGATCACCTGTATGTAGTGCGTAAGTACGAGATGATTTTACCATCGGAATTAAGAATGACTTAAAACAAATTTGGAAGAAATTTATGTATAGTTACATCTGAACTATCGCGCCTCCACATCTAAACTCCGAACTATCAGCACCATTACATCTAAACTCGAGAATAATCCTTACGTAAGAACGTAGTTAGAACTCTGAATCCGAACTCGAATTGACTGTTAGCTGGAGAGCGCGTAATTTCATGTAATCTAATAATTGTATATAACTGTATCTAAATATAATATCTTTATTTATACAGAAGTGTCAGTTTTTATGCAAAAGCTTGGAATTATTTAGATATTTCATCGAATAAGAATTAGAATGGAACAAGCTCGGCTCCCGGGTGAAAGAAAAGGTAAGAGATTTCTTTTTACCTTTTAGAATTCTATTGAGAGATACAACAAATTTTTTGGCATCCCTGCCGGGACGCCCGAGCTAAGAATAAGAATTTAAATTAGACAATAAAGATTAAGAATACAATTATTGATTACATTTTGAATTTTTGAACTGTTAAGAACATGTCTGAAGAGATCTTTAAATAAATTAAAAAAGAAGCGCGCAGCTCTCCGAACATCAGTAACGAAATCGCTTAAAGATTTGGAATCGCAGCTTTCGGAAATTGATCCGAAAATTCATGATTTGGAAGAAAATTTAGAAATATTAAAGAATAATTTCGAATCGCTTAAAAGTGTCGATACAGAATTAGAAACCTCTTTTTAAAGTCGAAGAATTTGATGCTGAATTCCAAAAATCTGAAGAATATCGCCAAAAGGTCGTTAAATGCAGTTTCCGTACCTCCAAAAGAATCGACGAATTAAAACGCAAATCTACTGAAACGGTAGTAAATAACCAGTTCAGTACTGACAGTCAAAGCGAAACCAAAACATAACGAGTCTGTTCGAATTAAATTACCTAAGTTAACTTTAACGAAATTCTACGGAGAGATATAAACAACTGGCTAACCTTTTGGAACAGTTTCGAGTCTGCCATTCATAAAAATGATTCATTAGATAAAATAGACAAATTTAATTATTTGAAAGCTCATTTAGGTGGTTCTGCTTTAAATACAGTCGAAGGATTACCGATTACTGCTGCTAATTACGATTCCGCAATTGATCTTCTAAAAGAAAGATTTGCGAAAACAGATGTGCTCATTTACACTCACATAAATAACATTTTGAACACTAAACCGTTGAAAATCTCGAATGATGTTCGCGCCTTTAGAAAATTTTATGATAATATTTCTATCGAATTAAGATGTTTAGAAAATTTGGGTCAGTCTCTCGAGAATTTATCAAGTGTGTTATGTCCAATAATTCTGAAATCACTTCCCCAAGATATTTTGCTTGAGATTAACAGAATGAGTAATGGAAGTGCATATTGTAATATTAAAAGCCTGTGCTTGATTATAGCTCAATGTTTAGATTCACGCGAAAGGGCGGAAGTCATAAATAAGAATTCAGAGCATTCGACAGCGAATAGTGGGCGCCGTCAGTCTGCGTATGCAGTCCAGAAAATAAACACTCGTCATTTCAGCGATGGAAAGAGCAATAAATTAGAAACGAAAGCTTCTTCTGCTTCTGATTTAGTGTCCACGGGTATTAAAGAAAAATTGATTAAGGCATGTGTTTTTTGCGGAGATTTTTCCCATTCAAGCCATAAATGTCCTATTGCCCAGAAACTAACGAATGACGAAAAGGTTGAAATACTACGCAAAAATGGCACTTGTTTTAGGTGTTTACAAAATAAGGGTCACATCAGCAAATTTTGTGATTCTAACATTTTTTGCTCCCATTGTCACTCTAAGCATTCTACGATTATGTGCAACAGAATTAATTCCGAGAGTAAAAAGGGAACGATCAAAACTGTCCAGGAAGTTGAAAATAAAGTACTTTCGAATCAAAGCAACCGTTCTGAAGTTTATTTACAAACTTTGGTCGTAGGGGTAGCTGGGAAAACCTTAAAGGGTTATTTAAGATTGCTAATAGACACCGGAAGTCAGAACACGTACATAAGTCAATATGCTGCTAAAACGTTGAAATTAGAAAAGATAGGAACTGAAAGAATTAAACATGGGTTATTTGGGGTGTAGAAGTTTCGGAAGATCATAATCGTTATCAAATAGATTTAACTAGTTTGGATGGAAAGTACAGGTGTAAAATCGAAGCACTAGACCAGAGGAAAATTTGTTCGTCACTACCTAATCAAGATCAAAGACGAAAAAGTTAATTAAAGTAATGGAAAAAAGGGGAATCCTTATCAACGACAATCATGTGAATGGAAATCTCTGTCTGTTTCAAGAAAATCCGGAAGAGATTCATATGCTGTTAGGAGCGGACACCGCAGCACAATTGTTCACTGAAAGAATTGAACATTTTGCGGGGGATTACGTAGCCTTTGAGACCAAGTTAGGCTGGACTTTAATGGGCAAGATTAAAGAGAATGCGAATACGTCGAGTTCCCTGTCCGTTCTTTCTTTATCCTTACATGTTTCCGATACAAATTTGTCCAATCTTTGGCGTTTAGACACCTTGGGGATTTCAAGTGAGGGGAAAACAAAACGAAAAGTGTCTTGGAAGAAGAAACCCGAAAACATTTCTTAAAAAGTGTAAAACGAGATAGCTCAGGGAGATATGAAGTAACCTTACCCTTTATTTTAGATAAATCCGTCTTATCCAGTAACCGTACTGTGGCAGAAAGACACCTCGTCAAAACCGAAAGTAAACTAATTAACACACGCAGAAGAAAAGATTACGAAGAAATATTTGATGAGTGGGAAGCGAAGGACATTATTGAGGTAGTAACTGAGGAAAAGGAGGAAGGAGTGCACTACTTGTCACACAGACCTGTAAGAGTCTAGTGAAACTACAAAGATACGGCCTGTTTTCAATGCATCTGCACGTTCTAATTCACCCTCTCTCAATGATTGTCTGAGTAAAGGACCAAATTTAATAGAAATTATTCCACGTATATTGAATCGTTTTCGAAAATATCGCATAGGAGTGTCATCTGATATCGAAAAGGCCTTTTGTCAAATCAAAATAGCAGAAAAGGATAGAGATTTTTTAAGGTTTCTATGGTTCGATAATCAACATAAGTTTAAAATTTACAGACATAACCGAGTTGTTTTTGGACTCACATCAAGTCCGTTTCTGCTAGCCGCTACACTTAGTCACCTTTTGACTACAGTCCCAGAAAAGTTTGTAGAAACTTCTAATATTTTGAAAGATTCATTTTACCTCGATAATTCGTTAATTAGCTTAAATCACGTAGATGAAGCCGAAAATTTCGTTCAAGAAGCAAGATTGATTTTGGCTTCAGGGCATTTCAATTTGAGATGTTGGCGATCAAATTTTCGCATTGACATGATCGATGAGATAGAGAGCAAGACGAAAGTTGTCCCAGTATTAGGATTAGTATGGGATTTAGAAAAAGATAGTTTGAGTTGCAAGATCGAAGAAACATTTAACTTGAGGGAACCTATTACCAAAAGAAAAGTTTTGTCAATTACCCAGAAAATTTTTGATCCCATTGGCTTTACTGCACCGATAACTGTAATTCCTAAGCTAATTTTGCAAGAAACATGGAACCAGAAGATTAAGTGGGATGAAGATCTTCCTCTTCCCCTAAGTGAGCAGTTTGGGACTTGGTTGAACCAATTGCCTCTGCTATCTCAGATTGAAATTCCTCGTTGGTTAAATATTGATTACGAAAACGAAGATACCGTAGTGCTCCACGTTTTTTCGGATGCTAGTAAAAGAGCCTATGCCACATGTGCATTTTTAAGAGCTGAAACCATCGAAGGTGTAAAGGTTCAGTTAGTAAGTGCGAGAAGTCGAATAGCCCCTATTAAGGAACTTACGATTCCACGGCTTGAACTTCTTTCCTGTCTGATAGGTGCCAGGCTTGCCAAAACAATTCTATCAGATTTGAAACTTAAGAATTGTAGAACAGTGTTCTGGAGTGATTCTTCTACAGCTTTGGGGTGGATAAGAAGGGATCAAGCATGGGGTACGTTTGTTCACAATCGAGTACAAGAAATAAGATCGCTTACCAGAATATCTGACTGGAGGCATGTACCTGGAAGTTTAAACCCAGCGGATCTCCCATCGAGAGGATGTACTATTGAGCAATTACAGAAATCGGCATGGTGGGAGGGCCCATCGTGGCTTTACTTACCAGAAGACGAGTGGCCCCATGTAGAAGAAAAGCCTGATGAAGAACTTATAAACAAGGAAAAAAGGAAAACGATTCTGACTCTTCTAGATCATGGAGACAATTTGGACCGGTACTACAAATACTTCTCTTCATATAGAAAAACCGTGAGAATGATCGCTTGGATTTTCAGGTTTTATCACAATTTAAAGAACAAAGATAAAAACCTCACTCCTGATGTCTCAGTTGATGAATTGGAGAATGCTGAAAAGGCACTTTGTAGATTGGTACAGAAAGAATCATTTACAGGTATAAAACATCCCACTAATCGTGCGTTGAGACCAATCGTAGACCAAAATGGAATTATCAGAGTCAAAACGAACGTCCTACAGAGTCAAGATGATGAAAATTTCCGATATCCAATCATTTTACCTTCAAAAAACCATATTCTTGTTGAGAGACTAATTTACGAGAAACATCTAGAACTCCAGCATGCTGGTGTCAGCACTTTAATGACAAATCTTAGAGAAAACTTTTGGATATTAAAATCCAGAAAAAGTATTCGAAATATTATCAGAAAATGTGTAAGATGTAAAAGATTTGTTTCACAAAGAGTGGAAGTCGAGCCAGGATTTCCACCCGAAGATCGAGTCAGAGAAGGGGCGACTTTTGAAGTCGTCGGTGTAGATCTAGCGGGTCCTCTCTATCTCCGTGAGGGGTCTAAAGCGTGGATAGTCTTGTATACATGTGCCATTTATAGAGCCATTCACCTCGAACTAGTTACTTCTCTATCTACAGAAACTTTCATCCAATCTTTACGTAGATTCATTGCCAGAAGAGGTAGACCTTATGTGATATATTCCGACAACGGAACTAATTTTGTAGGGACTAACAGTGTTCTTAAGAAAGTTAATTGGAACGCCATATGTTCAGCTGCTTCTATCCAAAGGATACGATGGAAGTTCAACCCTCCGACCGCCGCCTGGTGGGGAGGTTGGTGGGAGAGGCTTGTGCGAATGGTGAAAGAAAATTTAAGAAGAGTGTTAGGTCGAACGTCCTTAAATTATGAAGAATTATATACTATATTATGTGACTGTGAACAAGTGATTAATTCGCGACCTATCACATACGTATCAGAGGATAATCAAGATCCATCACCACTGACCCCTATGATGTTCCTGCAAGAATTGCCGTCATCAGGAGTTCCTGATATGGACTACGTAGATTCCAAAGAACTAAACCGTCGAGCCAAATACCGACAGAGAATAAGACATGATCTACGAAACAGATTTCGTAATGAATATCTTGGTCAGTTGAGACAACAGGCAATAAAGAAGGGAAAATTTCAACAGTTGCAAGTAGGCGATGTCGTTCTATTGGAAGACAGCCAGAGACGACGCATACATTGGCCTTTAGCCAAGATAGTCGAGCTTTTCCCCAGTAAAGACGGAATAGTTAGACTAGCGAGGGTCAAGACAAGAAATGGAATTCTGCTTCGTCCAGTGCCCCGGCTTTTCCCGTTGGAGATCTCTACTTCCGAATCCGTTGGCCCTCCGTTCCCCGACAGAGCACCTCGAGATAGAAACGACCATGCAACTGGTCAGGCTGATCAGGCTGCTAGTATTCCAGAACCTGCCTCAAGTCCTCGAGTGATGACCAGAGCTGGACGAGTTGTTCGGCTCCTCCTCATCGACTGGACCTGTGTGTATTGAGTTCCTCCGCATCGTCGGATCTCAATGGTGGGAGGAGATGTTACATCTAAACTCCGAACTATCAGCGCCTCCACATCTAAACTCCGAACTATCAGCACCATTACATCTAAACTCGAGAATAATCTTACGTAAGAACGTAGTTAGAACTCTGAATCCGAACTCGATTGACTGTTAGCTGGAGAGCGCGTAATTTCATGTAATCTAATAATTGTATATAACTGTATCTAAATATAATATCTTTATTTATACAGAAGTGTCAGTTTTTATGCAAAAGCTTGGAATTATTTAGATATTTCATCGAATAAGAATTAGAATGGAACAAGCTCGGCTCCCGGGTGAAAGAAAAGGTAAGAGATTTCTTTTTACCTTTTAGAATTCTATTGAGAGATACAACAGTTATGCCTGAAAGAAAATATCCTGGGCGTAATTGTGGAAAATGACGAAAGTCAATTTAGTTAAAAACAATATCATTGAGGGAAACGAATAGGAGGGAAATAGATGTTTGGCTTGCTGGAGAGAGGGATGGATAAGTGTGTAGTTGAAAGGAGGGGTACTGAGCTATTCTTAGAAATAACTAAAAAAGAAAAAAAAATGTGTCGCGAGAATAAAATGTGATTTTCGACTGCTGGAAAGCCTACAACTGCCTCGAGTCTAAAGCGTACAAGCATTTTAAAGTGAGCCGCAGTTTACATTTCAAAGATCCTGATATAGGTTAGCATACTAACAGTATTAAAAAATCTCCTCAATTTCCAAGATGGCCTCACAACAGGAAAAGGCTTTATATGAGCTCCGTTTTGAGGTGTCCAGATCTGTGGCTAAAGCGCAGCGTGAGTTTTGTGCATTCTTTAAGAAAGATTCAGCACACAAAAATAACATAAGTAGGTGCTACCGACAGTTAAAACTCGACGTCTTTGTAACGACAAGAGTTCTAATCGACCTCGTGTGCCTGATGCAAACGTTGTTTCAACGCTCGAGGTGTTTCCAAGTCAGTAAAGCAAGCAAGGAATAGGGCATGCCAAAGCATAGAGTGTGGAAGGTGTTGCGTAAGCGGCTATGTTTTAAACCGCACAAAGTGGGATTAGTGCAAGCCCTTACACCCGCAGACAAAGTGAAAAAGCGTGATTTTTGTGAAGAGATGCAGTTAAAAGTGGAGAAAGATGGTTTTGTGGAGAGACTCATCTTCTGCCATGAAGCCACTTTCCATGTAGGTGGCAAGGTGAACAAACACAATGTCCGTATCTGCGAAAGCGAGGAACCACATGCACAGATAAAGCATCAACGTGGCTTTCTAAAAGTGAACGTTTTCTGTGCGCTTTTAGACATACTGGAAACCAGTTTGCCACCCCAGCTGAATATCAATTATGATGATTACATTTTGACACAGGACTGTGCCCGGCCCTATTTTCCCAATGTGCAAGAAATTCTTAATCATGTTATTTACCTACGCTGGATTGGTCTTTCTGCAACAGCAGGTTTTCCTTTTCCCCTGGCCACCCCGTTCGCCGGATTTAACAGTCTGCAATTTCTTTCTTCAGGAATTTTTTTTTTAAAGACCGATTTTATGTATCTCCAATGCCGTATCCCTAGAGGAAGTTTGCGATTGGATAAAGCATGTACTGAAGACCATCACGGCAGATATGCTGTACAGAGTATGGGAATAATTTTATTATCGTGTAGATGTGTGTCGGGTGACCAAAGGTGCACCAATTGAAGGATTGTTATTAATGCATCAAAAACTTAGAGAATTACCTCTGCTTATGCTGTATGGTTTGCCCATATAAAGTAATACATCGATTTATTATTAATTTTCAAAACCAAACCATTCATTTTAAAACACCCTATATACTCTTAAAATACATGCATAAAATACGTATACTTTCTTATCTTTACTTTCTTTTATAATACTAGCAAGCTAGGGGTTTCGAGGAGATCTTTTTACTAACTTTGACAGATGAGTTAATCGATGGCTATTGGCATATAGGGAGGTATACCTTTCCACGTTACACATGAGGAAAAACAGCCAGCCCGCTTGCGAGGATAGGAACTCAAGTCGAACTACCAGTGTTCAGCTTCTTGACCGCTGATTAGTGCTAACTACGATAGCTGAACAGTAAGAAACTGCCAATTAATTGCAATCAATAAGAGCATACAATAAAATAAACAGCTATTAAGTAACTTAAGAGCTAAAGCAAATTTTCTTTAACACACCATATATCGTAAATTAACGATATCATTCAAAATAAACTCTAAATTACAGTTCACAATTTACTAAACTAACTTTTTGAACCCCACTAATCTCTAGTGCAACTCAGAACTAAACTCACTACTGGCTCCTGAAGTCATATTTAGACAGAATTGTCTGGCGTTCTTAAACTTTCGGGAGAATTCATTGGCTGATTTTCACAAAAATATTACCGAATGGCAGACAGCTTGATTGCAGGAATTTTCATCAAGACCATCTGGAGAATTTTTGCCTATATATCAGCTTTTAACTGAGCTATTTTCACAATTCTATTGTTAATTGGTTCACAATTACATTTCCGAATAAAAATTAGCATCTACAAATACAATGAGTCGCAAGAAATTCATTTAAACAAAAGATACAAATACACATTAAATTAATTAATTAACACAAAAATAAATTAATTAAAATTACACATTAAATGAAGTACAATAAACAAATGAAAATACTACATAAAATCAGTAACACAATCAAATGGGATCAAATATTTAAAACAATTCTACTTGTACGATTTTCTTACGCATGTATAAATAGCCTGTCTTCCTCTTTTTGAAAGAACTGTTGAGTTTTCCTCCATCCTCTCTATTTTATTTAACTCGCAGGATACCCATTTTTTCTGTGAGCCAAAAATAAACAAAAGAATTACTGTACTAATTATGAGGAAAAGCTGCAATTACATACCATTAGAAATATCTAAGAATAGCTGATTGTAATAAACTATTATTTAAAGACTCGTATAGTACGAAAACACAGATTATTCTGCCTGCAGAAAGAGTATTAGACAGAAATCAATGGCGCAAAAAGAATCTCGCTGAAGTGGCTACTCTAATTGTTTGCTCTTAATTGGTTGTGCTGAAATGACCTCTCTATGCTTGCCACTCAACGGGGGATTTTATCAGGGTGCAATGGATCTGATATGGTAGAATCACTCAGCTGTACCCAGAGCATCTATTCTGTTTCAGCATATAATGTGGACAGGATCTGATTGTATTTTGGAAGCTCTAATTAGAGCTGCTTTTGCTACAAATCAGGATTGCAATTTCGTTTACATTTTTATATAGTAGACAACCTACGCCAGAGAATCTCAGTATGCACTTTAAGAATTTTTTTTTTCTTTCTACAGAACAATTTACAATTATTAACGAAATAAAAGGTAAAAACAACGTAAACAGTATTATTGTAAAATGGTACCATTATAAAAGAATAAGAAAAAAATCTGAAAGGTTTCAGATTTTAAAATACGTCCAAAGGGGTGTTTTTTAACGTTTTGTGTGTTACCTTTATTTATTAAATATCATGTTCTTTGCACTTAAACCATAAAATTCAGTTCAACAGCAATGTGGCAAAATAATTTTAAAATGAGCATATCTTTAGAATTACCCATATACAGTTCCGCGCCCTAGAGATAAAAAGGATTTTTTCCTCGCCGTAGAGTGTTGCCATTGTTCGTTTTTAAATTTATTGTTAATCGAAAATTTGTTAAAGTTTTACAAAATGTGAAATCGATAACAAAACAAATTCCAAATTTCAAATTTGGGCTTTCAGATGCCCATATTCGCAGTAGTATTACGTCATTCAAAACTGGATGGCTCTAGGTACCGTTGTTTTATTACAATGCGAGAAAGATACTTACTTACATTTATGCAGATTTTTCATTATTTAATTTCTTCAAATACAGGGCTATAGTATTTGGTGGCAACGACTTGAAAAGTGATACAGCCTTTTAAAATTTTCAACGCAAAATCGCAAAACGAAAACAATAGTTCTTCAGGGACGAAGCTTTTTTGGACTAAAAATATGCTTTAAGTCTCCGTGAGAAATGGAAGTAAATTAAAAATAAACTAAACTAATTAATTAAAATCCCTTCACTTAACCACAACACCTTCAATTTTCTGTTATTGGCAATTTATCGCCAACACGTTATAGCAAACCTGAATTACGATTCAGAAGTTCCTACGAATTACAGTGGCTAGAACTTAAATTTCAGCGTCAATTATAAACGTTTTTTCAATTTAAAATTTACTTTTTAATTTAAAGTCTAAATTTACATTTACAAATTAACATTTTCAACTTAAAAAATTGGAGAGCAGAGGGAATTTGGGAGTTGCTGCAGCAACATCTCAGGTAAGATTCTGTGCTTGCAAATTTTCAAAACACATACAATTAAAACACTCTATAATGGAAGTTAAAAGAATAACAACAAACCCATACTTAAGTTTTACCTTATAAAATACTGATTACCTTTTCGAAAAACGCTTTTGGTTACGATTGTATCTATACCCACAGTCTATAGAGAATAGATACCAAAAGTCTATAGAGAATAGATTGGTCTATACCCGCCACCTATGCGGACTGCATAAGAATGAAATAAGATGAGTTTGGAATCGGCGAAAAAATAATCTCCATATGGTCCTAATTCAAAATTCGTAAATTAGTTTCTTTTTTCGAAGGAAAGAAAAAAAAAAAAAAAAAAAAAAAAAAAAAACACGCTCTCTAGAACGGCTTGATTCGAAATGCGTAAATTAGGAATTTTTATCGCAGAGGTAAAGAAATATATGTATGCTGAATGCGAAATTTACAGATTTCAAGTGTGAAAGTTCTAGGGAGATGTTTATTTTATAGAAAGCTTGGAAGAAGTAAGCTTCTTTAACTTTAAACACATTGTAATCATTCTTGTAAACAAAGATTCTTATCAACATGGTTTACGTAGCTCACTCACATCATTATATATAATCATTCCATACCGCGCAGAGCACAT